GCACCCCAGGGGCCCCCTGGGGCCCCTTTTAGCGGGCGTTGGGGGCCCCTGGGGGCCCCCCTGGGGGCCCCCCAAGAGCGCTCCCGAGGGGCTCAAGCCGCGGGGCCCCCCAGGGGCCCCCCGGGGGGCCCCCCGGGGGCCCCCAAGGGGAGGGCCAGTCTGCTGAAGCTTCGATTTGGTAATTGATTTGGTCTTTGTCAGTGATGAAGACTTTGTGAATAAAAGCTGTTGGGGTTTCTGCAGAAAGACAAAAAGTGCTGGTGCAGGGGGTGGGGACGGGGACGCCCCTGCACGCACAAACCCTAAACCCTAAACCCTAAACCCTAAACCCTAAACCCTAAACCCTAAACCCTCGGCCGAAGAAGGAGCCCAGACACGCCGACGGCGATTCTGCGCAGCAGCAGCAGCAGCAGCAGCAGCAGCGCCAGCAACAGAGGAGCTCCCGCAACAGCAACAGCAGCAGCAGCAACCGCTGCTGCTGCTGCTGCAGCAGCAGCAGCTGCAGCAGCAGCAGCAGCAGCAGCAGCAGCAGCAGCAGCAGGACTTACTCGACAAGAATAGTGTATAGAGTGTCCTGCAGCAGCGAATTTGGCTGGCAAGTGAGGCCCTGAAGTTGCTGCTGCAGCTTAGCTGTAGATACACCTGAAGGCTCAGGTGTACAGACACCTGAGCAGCGCGCAGCCATTTTGCTGCAGCACAGAAACAGCCCCTGCTGCTGCTGCTGTTGCAGCTGCTGCTGCTGCTGCTGCAGCTGCTGCTGCTGCTGCTGCGCTTCCGTTTCTCCCGCTGCTGCTGCTGCAGCTGCTGCTGCTGCTGCTGCTGCTTTTTGAATTTGCTGGAGCAGCAAAAAATTAAAAATATCACAAGTGGAAGTGTGTACAAAATCAAAAGTCTGGGAAGACCCTTAGGGGGGCCCCCAGGGGCCCCCCGGGGGCCCCGGGGGGCCCCCGGGGCCCCTTCGGGGGCCCTAAACCCTAAACCCTAAACCCTAAACCCTAAACCCTAAACCCTAGGAGGTGAAAAGCTGCCACAAGGAGCAGAAACTTGGTATAAAAGTGAATAAAATTGAATTTTGGAAATAAATAAATAAATCTTTTTTGTTCTTTTTGTCTTCTTCTTTCAATCATTTCATTTAAATAAATTTATTTCCATTTTTCTCTTCAATTTAATTTCCTTTTCTTTCCCCCTTTTTTGCCTAAGCCTCCTGGGGGCCCCCAGGGGGCCCCCAAACCCTAAATGGCCTTCCCAGGGGGCCCCCAAGTGGGTCCCGCAGGGGCATCGGGGGCCCCCAGCGAGGGTCTTGGGGGGCCCCCAGGGGCCCCCCATGAGGGTTTAGGAGGGGCCCCAGGGGCCCCCAGTGAGGGTTCGTGGGGGGCCCCAGGGGGCCCCCGTGAGACATTAGTGGGGCCCCCAGGGGCCTCCCCCGTGGGTTCATGGGGGGCCCCGGGGGCCCCCAATGGGGGTCTACGGGGGCCCCTAGGGGCCCCGGGTGTAGATTTTGGGGGGCCCGGGGGCCCCCCCGAGCCCCCGGGGGCCCCCGGGGCCCCTGGGGCCCCCGAGGCCCCTGGGGCCCCCGGGGCCCCCGGGGCCCCGGGGGCCCCCGGGGGCCCCGAAGAGCAGCAGCTGCCTTTGGCTTTAACTCCAGAGCTAGCCCTTGAAGTGGCAGAGGCTTTAGGGGTTGAGGGGCCCCCTTGGGCCCCCTGCAGCTGCGGGGCCCTTACGCACCCCTTGGGGGCCCCCCTAGGGGCCCCCCCGGGGGCCCCCCTGGGGGCCCCCCTGGGGGCCCCCCTGGGGGCCCCCCTGGGGGGCCCCCTGGGGGCCCTTTCGGTGAGTTCAGTTGAGGGGCCCCAAACAGCAACGCGCGTTGTGAGCTCTGGGGGCCCCCAGGGGCCCCCCGAGGCCCTCATGGGGGGCCCCCGGGGGGCCCCCGAGGGCCCGCTTGGGGGCCCCCAGGGGCCCCCCGAGGCCCCGTCGGGGGGCCCCTCGGGGGCCCCCGAGACCCTCTTCGGGGGGGCCCCCTCAGTACCCTCTTCAGGCCCTTCTTTGGGGTCTTTTGAAGGCCTTTGTGTGGGCCCTGCTGCTTCTTCTTTTCTTTCATTTTGCTGCAGCAGCAAAGCCTCAGATAGCAGCTCTTGCAGGGCCCCCACGCAGGTCCTAAACCCTAAACCCTAAACCCTAAACCCTAAACCCTCGCCCCAGCCCCATTTCTTAGAGCTGCTGCAGCAAACCCTCGAACAGCTTTTAGGGTTTAGAGCATTGGCAGTCTTTTTTGCTTCTCTCTGAGCCTCATAACACTTAAACTTCAGCCACTTCCAGGGTTTAGGGTTTAGGGTTTAGGGTTTAGGGTTTAGGGTTTGGGGTTTCTCGCTCCGGAGGAAAACATTTAAATCGGATTGTCGCCAGCACGAGGCGCCTTGGCTAGCTGCCTTGCCAGCTAGCTAGCTAGCTAGCTAGCTGGCCAGATAGCTAGCTTGATAGATAGCTTGTTAGCTAGCCAGCTAGCTAGCTGGCTGGCCATCTAGCTAGCTTGTTGGCTAGCTAGCATGTTGGCTAGCTAGCATGTTGGCTAGCTAGCATGTTGGCTAGCTAGCTTGTTGGCTAGCTAGCTTGTTGGCTAGCTAGCTGGCCAACGAGGAACCGTGGCTAGCTAGCTAGAAGGCAGGTTGCCCAGCTAGCTAGCCAGCTAGCTAGCCGGCTGACTGGGCCACCGGCTGCCTAGCTAGCTACCCAGCTGGCTAGCTAGCTGGCGGACGGCTAGCTAGCTAGCTAGTGGCTAGCTAGCGGCCGGCTAGCTAGCTTGTCAGTGGCTAGCTAGCTAGTGGCTACCT